GAGATGAAATCGAGGATGCTCCGATAGAGTGAGAGGGGAGGGGAATTTGGCGTCGGGGTCGGGGCCGGCCCGACATCAACGCGCGCGGTCATTTTTACAATGTAAACGAGAGCGCGGCGAAGCTGTTAGGCAATTTACATATTTCGCGAGCTTGCGTCACGTTCGGTTGCGCGCTATTAATGCAAACGGTGTCCGCAATATCGCCCCTCGTGCACGAGCGCGACGATCGTGGAATTCTCCGCCATTTTGACCTTACCGAAGGATATCTGGTATCTCTGTAGCGTATGTGTGTGTGTGTTGTGTGTGCGGCCGTTGTGTGGGTCGGCTGGTAATATCGCGAGTGTCGTTTCGACACACGCGGTGACGGCGACGGCGACGGCGATGGCGATGGCGACGGCGGCGGTAAACGCAACACTTTACTAATTCCGAACTTGCGATTTCGTCAGATATGCGCATTTCATTTACAGGAAGGGGTGAGAGGGGTGGGGTAGACCTCGACAGTGCCCCGAGGAATCCGCGCACCTGCCGGCTAAATCGTCTCACGAGACCGTCTCTCGACTCGCCGCTCCGTGGATTCGATTCTCTCGCAATCATTTTGTCGAAGACTTTAAATTCCGCTGCAAGCGGCTTACCTCTTATTTCGTATTAATCTTGGCTGCGTTCAGAAATTTCACTCGGGGATGCACCCAGACATTATTTTATCATTATTTAATATTCGATGAACGACATTCGGGGCCAAATGATATCTGGATGCACCCAAGTAAAGTTTCTGAATGCAGTCCTTTAATGGATAGGCTACAGCATCTCAAGTCGGAGCACAAATCTTTGTATAACGCATGAAGGAGAAAATCAATCAGTCTTTTACTTCATGGAAAGCAAGGAAATGAATTTTATTGATTCATTTTCTTATGCATTATGCGTTATGCAAGATTCCATGCTCTCGCTCTTAGTTTTCTTGAAAAACTCGTCTAAGGCCTAGTTCCACAACTGACGGTTAACT